GACGGGGTCGATTTTACTCGAGAGCTCGCGAACCGTGAGGATCCGTGGAATTCTTCAAAGTAGAAATTAATTGACAATTAACCGGTATTAATGCGTCGCCGTCGGATTTGTGTTTCGCGCTGGCGGAACGAGTCCCCGGAGACTAAAGGCGGCGTACTTTAATCGCGTCGTGTTCCAACCCTCGAGAGAGAGAGAGAGAGAAAGAGAGAGAGAGAGAGAGAGAGAGAGAGAGAGAGAGAGAGAGAGAGGGAGAGGGCGTATCGTCTGCTCGTGTAAACTCGAAGGGATAAGGGAACTCGATAAAAAAAGATCGTGATGCTTTCTCCGCGCCGGGCCCCGGAGGCTTAGCCGCAAGGAGTGTCGAATCGACGGTAATTCCGTCCAATTAGAACACTCCCAATTAGGAGCGAAGGCTTCTTCTTTCTACGTTCTCGGATCCCTCCCCGGGATCCTGAGGTTCTTCCCTCGCTGGCAGCACGACGATTTTGCCTTCGAGATATCGCGAACGAGATACGAAACACTTTAATTCACTCCGCTGAGAAGGCTCGCCTCTCATTGGTCAGTGTTTTTGGTTAATAACTCGTAAACGAAGCCTCGGAGAACATTTTTGTAAAGGAAAAAGTTGCTTCAAATCGCCTCAGGAATCCCTCATTTCTCGGAAATAGTGAATAAATAATTTTGGGACGCCCCGCTCTCGGTTAATATTTCTCGGCAGCGATCGTTCCGGTTTCCTTGGATTCGGGCAGCGAATGTTCTCTCTCTCTCTCTCTCTCTCTTTCTCGTTCGCCCGCTAGCAATCAGTGTCCGGAGAACCCCTCTCCGCTTTGTTTCCTCGATCACACCCCCGGGGTCACGGGGACCGCGCGACTTCCGATCCTCGTTCCGTCTTAATCCACTCGTGGTGGCCGGACGTGCAATAATAAACGGCCCCGAGAAACGGGGAAAGCTCAATCTCCGAGCGAGAAGCTTTTATGGGGCGGTCATAATATCTGGTCATCGCCGGGTTCGATCTGCTCCCCACACGCCGCTCGTATTTCCTCCTCCGGTCGTTCTCTCTGTGTACAGAGACGAGAAAAACACTCGGTGTCCGCCGGTGCCAACACGCGGGAGGGAAGAGATTACGCGGATATGCCCGAGGGTGAAAGCAAGAGGATCGCAAGAGGAAAGCGTCACATTAAGAAAGAATTATGGACTATGGACTCTCCTCGTGCCGGTACTCCTCGTCAATTAATAGCGCGCCCCTTCTTCTCTGTTCCCGGTCGTTTCTTGTTCGTTTCGCTCGTCGAATCGTTCTTTTGTTCTTACTTTCGCTGCTAACCACGATCGGTACGTTCGCCGATGCATCGTTCATTTGGATGTACGAATAATGTCTCTCTAATTGACGCTTAGGTTGCGCAGAAAAATTTGGGGAGAGGAGATACGATTGTTCCAAGCATTGAGCCTTGTTTTTATAGTTAGCGATTGTCAATAAGTATAAAAGCGAGCTTCGAGGCTCGCATGATCGCATCTCCTCTTTCCAAAGCGTCCATTTTTGTGCAGAATGACAGCGTCAATTAGGGAGAGTTTACTGTACAGTAATGTCTCTCTTATTGACACTTAGATCGCGCACAAATATGGACAATTTGGGGAGAGGCACAGATACGATTATTCCAGCCCGCGGTTTTGTTTTTATAGTTACGAATCGTCAACAACTATAAAAGCGAGACAAAAAGCTCGAATAATCGTGTCACTTCTTCCCAAATTGTCCATTTACAATCTGAGTGTCAATTAGGGAGACATTGCACAGTGCGTCGAATAAGTTTCGAGACTCGGACCATATCTCGGTAACTAATAGCGCTATCTATGTTTTTAGACCGGCGTTTGAAAGCTGCGACGTTCTTCTTTCCGACAGTATCAATTTTGGGTCCGATCGGTCGATAAATAGCAAAGTTATAACAGTTCTCCCTAACACGGAACAAAGAGCGGTTATTAAATTTCACGGAAAACTCGGTAAAAATGCATCGGAAACATTCCGGTTGATGCAGCAAGTGTACGGCACCGTTTGTTCCAGTAGAACAAATGTTTTTCCGCGGCACAAACGTTTTTTGGAAGGCAGAGAGAGGGTAGAAGATGATAATCGCGAAGGAAGGCCTACTACAATCTGAGCGTCGATTAGAGAGAGATTCACTGTACTCGTTTCAGTCAACTGTTGATCTAACTCTTAACTTGGCATTACTTCAATGCCTCGACCATAACGAAATATTGGAGTGGGAAAGGAGATACGATTATTCGAGCTTTGCAGCTCGTTCTTATAATTATTGAAAATCGGTAACTATAAAAACGAGTCGCGAGGCTCGAATAATCGTCTCTCTTCTCCCTAAATTGTCCATTTTCGTGCGCGATCCAAGCGTCAGTTAGGGAGACAATCTGGACGCCAATTAGGGAGACATTACTGTACATTATTGTGTACGAGCTGAGGGACAATTTGAGAGAATTTACTGTATCCTATACTTCTCCATTGTAATTCCGGCCGTCTATAGCTGTTCGCAATGCGTTTTTCGGCTTGGCCGTTCTCTCGACAAGATCTGCGCGTGATGCCTGTGAAGTCTGTTAAGGTGTCACGCGTGTCTGGAGCGTTTATCGAGCCACCTGCGACCGCGGCGTACTCGTTGCTCGTTCGCATACTTTCTCTCTGCCGACGCTAGGCGTATGAAAAGCTGGCGGTCGGGTTTTATTGCTCGGGGCCCGGAAGAGAACGCCCGCTTGGGCAACGGAGAAGGTTTCGCTCGCTCTTCGTCGACGGTAAATGTGAAATTTATTCGCGACCAGGTCGCCGGGATTACGTTGCCGGGCCGCGGCGCGGCGCGGCGCGAACGTTAATTATTCGCACCCGCCGCCGCGTCGGTTGCTCAAGAACAAGATTACGCGTTTTCTTGGTCCTCTTCTCGCTGGTCCTGCAACGCACGCGTCCTAGTTCGGTAACGCGTTATACGCCGCTGACTAATGGGAGGATTAGAGCCGCGCTGCGGCGGTTCATCGTTGCGCGTTGCCGGCAATCTTAATTCGCGCGGTTTAACCCGGATTTAACACGATGCGCGCGGAAGCTCGTAGGCGATTCATCGGAAAATATGACGCGGATTTCATTAAAAACACTCCCGCGGCTCTGTTAAACGTTCGTCTAGGCGCTTCGATGAAAGAAAACTTGATCGTCGCGAGACTCGGCCAGAGGATGACGCCCGAGAATTCCTACTCGAAGCTGGTTTTCTGACAGCGAACTCTCGGAACGCTTGATTGCCGCTAAAATTGTTATATCACGTTTCAAGATAATTTTGATATCGACAAAGGTTAGATTTAAAAAATTGTTGAAATGTAACTGTTGTACGAGTCGCCGTAAAACTGAATTTCATGCGCGTAAAATGCACTTCGTCATATAAAATGGCAATACTGTAAGTCAGAAAAATTATTTTCGATTTACAGTTAAATGGCTACAGCGCAAAGGGTTTTAATTGCATTACTTCTTGCCCGAGATACAACAAACCAAAGTTTCAGTCTCGAATCAGACATTTCGTATTTAACGTCCTAATATATAAATACAGTAATGTCTCCCTAACTGACGCTCAAATTGTCTCCCTAATTGACGCTCCGATCGCCCACAAAAATGGACAATTTCGGAAAAG